TTTTTTTTGTCGGTCGTGGGGCTTGAACTCTGGGCCTGGGCGCTGTCCCTCAGCTCTTCAGCTCAAGGTGAGTGCTCTATCACTTGAGCTACAGTGCCACTTCCAGTTTTCTGGTGGTTTATTGGAGATAGGAGTCTCATGGTCTTTCCTGCCCGGGCTGGCTTTGAACCGCGATCCTCAGGTCTCGGCCTCCTGCGTAACTAGGATAACAGGCATGAGCCATCAGTGCCCTGCTGGAAATTTTGTTGTTTTTTTTTTAAAGCACTAAGTTGCTGGAAATTAGATGGGGAGCTTTTTAAAAATTATAGATACCTATTTTTTCTGTGGAAGAAGAAAGTGTTTTGTGTTTTCAGTTTCAGCTAAATCTTGAGTATTTTCTGTATACTTCTGCTAAAAGAAGCAGTGTTTTTTCTAGAGTGTGTTTCCGTTGATTGGTTTGAAAGAATATTTACTGAATCAGGTGCTGGTGGCTCACTCCTGTAATCCTAGCTACTCAGGAGGCTGAGATCTGAGGATCATGGTTCAAAGCCAGCCTCGGCAGGAAAGTCTTCAATAAATTAGAAAAAAACAGAAATGGTACTGTAGCTCAAGTGGTAGAACTCTCACCTTGAGCTGAAGAGCTGAGGGACAGTGCCCAGGCCCAGAGTTCAAGCCCCACTACCAACAACAACAAAAGAAAGCATATTCACTGACCCTCTTCTGTGATCCAGACACTGCATTAGCTCAGGATACACAGACATGGACAGCGAGGGGGAAACAGGCATGGACAATGAGGGAGTGGACATAGACAGCCGAGGGGAAGCAGGCCTGGACAGCGAGGTGCAAGTGGACCTGGACAGCACAAGGAAGGCAGGCATGGACAACACAGAGGAAGCAGGTGTGCACAGCGTGGGGCTGTGTCCTGGGGAGCTCACTTTCTTGAGAGGCAGAGACACATAATTAGTCAGTTAATGAGACCGTTTTAGACAGGGCGCAGTGTGTGGTAAGTGGTGATGAGGAAGGCTGTCCGGTGAGTTTTAGGTGGCTTCAGGAGCATTGCTGAGATGCAGTTCCCACAGCTTAGAGTGCACTCCCTTATCAGTATGCACCAAGTGTTCTTTCAGGAACTCGCTGGTTTGTGCAGCTATCATCAGATTCAATCTTAAGCTTCTTTTGTTCCTAACCAGAAGACCCTGCTGCTCATTAGCAGTCCCTTTCTGACCGCTCTCCTTTCCCTGCTGTTTATAGCAGGGGCTGACTACTACACTTAGACTCTCCTGCCCAAGCGTGTCAGATCAGTGGAATGTGCCACGAGCGGTCTTCTGTGACTGGTTGCCATGCAGTAGTCATTCTTTTACATTGCCAAATAATGCTCCATTGTGAGGAAATACCACATTTTACCTACTGTCATGGACATTTGAGTTGTCCCTACCTTCTGGTTTTTATGAATAGCGCTGTTGTGAATCGTCCTGTGGCATCATGGGGTCAGACTGTGACCAGCAGACATGACCCGGAGCAGTGTGTGAGGCCACCAGCCTCTCCAGTCCTCAGCGGCGCCCCTGAGAAGTAGTGCCTCCGTGTGATTCTGATTTATAGTTCCCTAAGCATTACTGGCCATCTACCTATTGCTGATTTGGGGAAATGTCTATTTAAATTGTGCTCTTTGTCTATCATTTAGTTTTATGCAAGCTGTTTGTTGAGTTGGCAGTCCTAGGGTTTAAACTCAGGGCCTCATACTTGCTAGCCAGGTGATTTTTAACGTTTGCCTCCCAGCGGAATCAACTTCTTGCCCAGGGCTAGCCTTGGAATGTGAGCCTCCTCCATACATCTACATCCCAGACTTTTTTTAAAAATTAAGATGAGGTTTTCCTAAATTTTTCCCCCAATTGGCCTCAAACTGAAATCCTCCCAATCTCCACCTTCCTAGTTTCTGGCATTACAGGGATAAGCCACCATACCCAGCTTTTTAAATTTTTTTTTTCACTGTGGTTCGGGGTACCAAATATGGGGCTTTGTGCGTGTTGGTCAATCACATTATCACAGAGGTATACCCCCAATGAATCCTTTTTATTTCTGCATGTAAGTCTTTTGCCAGGTACATAATTTTCTATTTTTTTTTTCATTTTGCTCTCCTTACTTCCTTCCTAGGATGGTACTCTGCCACTTGAGCCATACCTCCAGCCCAGCTTTTTGTTGGTTATTTTGGAGATGGAGTCTCACAGAGACTTTTCTGTCTAGGCTCTATTTGAACTATGATCCTCCAGGATCTATATAGCTAGGATTACAGGAATGAGACACTGGCAACCAGCTCAAATGCTTTCTGACATCCTACACGTTCTTTCCACATTCTCAGCTGTGTCGTTTGCCACACAGGAGTCGTTAATATTGATGGCATTCAATTTTAGTCTTGCAGCTTAGCATTTGTATCTAAAATTTATTCTTCCCTCGACACCCTGTAAGATCCCCACTGCAATATCTAATCAGACTCTTTACCTGGTCCTCACTCTAGGGAAGTCACTGCCTTTGCCCTGGCCTGGAGTGCTTTTTGAACACCCTGCAGTGGTTCTGGCTCTGCTGCTGGCTTCGGGGCCAGGCCTGTGACACTTGTTGTAGGTTCTTTTTTTTTTTGGGGGGGGGTTGATCGTGGGACCTGAATTCAAGGCTAGCACTCTACCACTTGAGCCACAGTACCACTTCAGGCTTTTTTTGCTTATGTGGTATTGAATTGATCCCAGGGCCTCATGCATGCAAGGCAAACACTGTACCACTGAGCCACTTTCCCAGCCCCTTGTAGTAGGTTCTTATACCTAAGAGTGAGAAAGCTGATTCAAAGGGGCTTCACTTCTCACATCCCATGCCTCTGCAATTCTGCTTGAATTTCTTTCTTAGAAAGTCTTCCCTTCGTTTCCCTCTCTTCCCTTCCCCTCCTATCTCCTCCCCTCCTTTTTCCTTCCCTTCCTTTCCCTTCTGATTGCATCAACATAGAAATTCTAAAAAGGGGGCTGGGAAGGTGGCTCAGTGGTAGATCGCTTGCCTTGCATGCATGAGGCCCTGGGTTCGATTCCTCAGCACCACATCAGCAAAAAGAAAAAAGCCGGAAGTGGCGCTGTGGCTCAAGTGGTAGAGCTCTAGCCTTGAGCTGAAGAGCTGAGGGATAGCGCCCAGGCCCAGAGTTCAGGCTCCACAACCTGACCCAAAAAAAAAAAAAAAAAGAAATTCTAAAAAGGATACTTGGACATTATTCTTAGATCCTTTTCCATATCCATTTTGACTTTTGTTAATGTCCATGGTTCTGAACCACCTAACCCTTATGGAGCAGCAGTGGGCAGGGATATTCAGTGTCCGTATTGCCTTCCCTTTGACTCCCTGAACAAGCAGAGAATGGAGGTCAGCTAGAGGACTCGGCTCAGGTCCACCACAGAAGCCACAGAAGCCATGGCTCTTCCCGTCCACCTCTAACCATCAGCACTCTGTGTTTTCAGACTCGCAGCGTTCACACCTCTCCTCCTTCACCATGAAGCTGATGGACAAATTCCACTCTCCCAAAATCAAGAGAACGCCGTCCAAGAAGGGAAAGCCCACTGAGGGGTCGGTGAAGATTCCAGAGAAACCTGGGAACAAAGTAAGCTGCCCTTCTAGGTGTCCTTCTGGCCCCAGCCTGTATCCAGCAGGGCACGTGGCACTGGCTCTATGTCAGGGCACTCCCCGGGCCGTCAGTGGCCCTGTAGAATGGGAAGTGTCTGTCCTGCCAGTGGCTGAGACAGTTTTCCTTTTCTGGCTATGGCAGCCTCTGGGCACTGTGCTCCCACCGAGGGTGCAGCGTGCCACCCCAGAAGGCCCCATGCTGTCCTGGGACACACACACACACACACACACACACACACAGATGCCGCAGACAGCCTGAGCACCCAGCCCTGTGCTTCAGGGCTTGTGCTCTGAAATGCAAGCCCCTGGAGACCCAGCCAAAGATATGTGAGCCCTAGTAACCTCAGCAGGGCCAGCTGAGCCAGATGTTCTGAAACAGCTGTTGATTTTCATCAACCCCTACCTTCCACCTACACCGGCCATTTCAAGCTCTGTAGGAATCCAGGTTTCCTCTCTTCCAGGAGGCAAGAGACAGATTTCTACCAGAGGGCTACCCTGTCCCCTTGGATCTGGAGCAGCAGACAGTAGAATTTATGTCCACCAGTGCTGTGGCTTCCAGGTCTCAGAGGCAGAAGGTCAGTGTGACATTAAGAATGATGGGGTTTGCCTTGCCTTCCCCTGCAGGACCCTGGCCCGTGGTTTGGGGTGGAAAACACCTCCTGCCCTCACTGCGTCCTCACTGGGTGGCGACTGGGGCCCGGGCTGCTCAGCAGAGCCCTCATCTGCAGAGGGAGCTCAGTAGACACGGCAGCAGCTCGGGGCTTCTTTCTGGGGTGGGTCTGGTATGCTCTTTGGGTCCAGCGGGTACTGGGGTGGGTGAGTCTCACCCTGGCAGAAGCTGATCTTTCCTGGCGTTTAGAAGGGAAGGTTACCTTCTAAGCTACCCGTGCTCTTTTAGCCATCTGCAAACCTTGGGGAATGCAGAGGCCAGGAGCCACCGATGGGGCCTTTTCTGGTTTCGTGCTGAGTGCTTCTCATGTCCTCTTCCTTGGTAATCATTGCAGCCCTGACAAGTGAAAACCTGTCCTGCTGAAAAGGAAACCAAGCTGTAGAGACACCCGTCACACACAAAAGGAGTGAAGGCAAGATTCGAATACAGGCCATCCAATGTCATAATAGTGAATTCCTTTTTTGGCAGTGCTAGGGATCAAAGCCAGCACCTTGTGCGTAACTAGCAAGTGCTCTACCACGAGTGACATTCCCAACCATGTGTTTTTTAGACAGGACTCAGTGGGTAGCCCAGGCTCATTTGAACTTTCAGTCTTCCTGCCTCCACCTCCTGACTGCTGGGATTACACACATGCATCACCACTCTCAGCTGCTACATTTCTACTTTAAGAAATAAAGCCAAGAGCTGGAAAAGTGGCTCAGTGGTAGAGCACTTGCCTTGCATGCCTGAGGCCCTGGGTTCGATTCCTCAGCACCACATAAGCAAAATGGAAATGGCGCCGTGGCTCAAAGTGGTAGAGCTCTAGCCTTGAGCTGAAGGACAGACAGCGCCGTCCCAGAGTTCAGGCCCCACAACCGGACCCAAAAAAAAAAAAAAAAAGGCCAAGCTGGCACTGGTGGTTCATACCTGTAATCCTAGCTACTCAAGAAGCTGAGATCTAAGAATCATTAAGATCATGATTCAAAGTCAGCCCAGGCTGAAAAGTCCTTGAGACTTTTATCTCTAGTTAACTACCAAAAAGCCAGAAGTAGAGCTGTGGCTCAAGTGATAGAACACAAAAGCTAAGGTGGCTCACAGCTATAACCCTACCTACTCAGGGGGCTGGGATCTGAGAATCATGGTTTGGAGCCAGTCCTGGCAGACAGATCTTTGAGACTCTTGTCTCAAATGATATGTGTGCAAAACTGAGCTAGAGTGTGAGTTTCAAGTTCAAACCCAGGGCTGGAGGAATGGTTCAGTTGACAGAGTTCTTGCCTAGCTAGTTTAAGTGCCCAGATTCAAACTTTAGTACTGCCTCCCACACACATACCCCCAAAACCCCCACATTGCTGCCTATGTGTTAGCAGAAGGGACCTGAAGGGCAGAAGGCTCGTTCTGTGTTTGCCAGAGACCTAATTCCAGGTAGAGGAAGCTCAGCGAGGCCTGTGCCTCACTTTGTGATGCTTAGCAGACCATGGAACTGCATTCCTGGTGCCCTGAGAGCGAAAGCCACTCTCCCCCCGGCACTTCAAGCTAACATGCTTTATTAAGCTGTTCAGCCACTCAGTCCTTGAATTTTTTTTTTTTTTTTTTGTCTATGTGTAGTCCTGGGGCTTGAACTCAGGGCCTGGGTACTGTCCATTAGCTTTTTTTGTACTCTGCCACTTGAGCCACAGCTCCACTTCTGGCCTTTTGGTGGTTAATTAGAAATAAGAGTCTCACAGACTTTGCTGCCTGGATTAGCTTCACACTGCAAGTTTTAGATCTCACGCTTCTGAGTAGCTAAGATTACAGGCAGGAGCCACTGGTGCCTGGTTTTCAGTCCTTGAATTTTTTTCTTCATGGTAAATGCTATTTTTATTAAAGGAAACTGTAGACCAAAGTAGATACAAAGCTCCTCAACAAAATTATAATACAAGCAGGGTACCTGCCGATGGCTCACACCTGTAATCTTAGCTACTCAGGATCCTGAGATCTGAGGATTATGGTTCAAAGCCAGCCCGGGCAGGAAAGTCGTGAGACTCCAGTAAACCACTAGAAAACTGGAAGTGGCACTGTGGCTCAAGTGGTAGAGCGCTCACCTTGAGCTGAAGAGCACAGGGACAGTGCCCAAGCCCAGAGTTCAAGCCCCACGACCAACCAAAAAAAAATATATATATAATACATAAAATTCAACAATACATTAAAAAGGTTGTATATCAAGATTATGCAGAATTAATACCTCATATGCAAAACCTTAGCACTGGCAATAAAACACATAACACATCTAGATCAATAGAATAGAAAATATGAAGTACAATATCTTTTTTGTCACTATATGTTAGTGGTACAAGAAGGGAGTTCATTGTGACATTTCCATATATGTATACAGTTTATTCCAAACCAACTCACTCTGTCACTGTCTCTTTCCCACCTACAAGTTTCTATCAGTCCTTGATTTATTTTTTCTTTTTGTGCCAGTCCTAGGGCTTGAACTCAGAGCCTGAGCATGGTCCCTAAGCTTCTATTGTTCAAGGCTAATGATCTACCACTTGAGCCACAGTGCCATTTTTGGGCTTTTCCTGAGTAGTTTATTCGAGATAAGTCTCACAGACTTTCCTGCCCAGTTTGGCTTCAAACTATAATATTTAGATCTCAGCTTCCTGTGTAGTAAGGATTACAGGAGTGACCCACCAGCTCCCAGCCAGTCTTACAATATTTTTTTTTGGTCAGTTGTGGGGCTTGAACTCTGGGCCTGGGCGCTGTCCCAGAGCTCTTCAGCTCTAGGCAAGGGATCTACCACCTGAGCCATAGCGCCACTTCCTTCCCAGAGAGTTTTTGAATTTCTAACCTTGCTTTCTTTATTACTGCTAGAGGAGACACTGGAGGAAACATTGAGAAGAAAGCAGCGTTCACTTATTGAGCTGTGTACAAACCCCAGTGGGATTTGGCAGTGTCTGGACTGGGTGTTTGGTCCTCATCATAGCAGTGTGAAGCTGGTACAATTCAAGTGATCAGGGCAAAGCTGTTGCATGTGCAGGACCCTAGAGCTGAAGTGCTGGGAGCCTGCCTCAGAGCAGGGATGGATGGGAGGGGCTGTGCCGCTCATGTCAGTGCTGTTCCCAAGTCCCTTGCCACTTACAGAGGTTATGGGGCCTTCTTGTCTCACCCCAGGTGGCAGGCCTGCCGCCCCTGCCAGAAGCACACACACTCAGAAAGCACTGGTGGACAGAAGTTGGCTCAGAGCACTGCCACCTGCCGAGGTTTCCCTCTGCCCAAGCCCCTGTCCTGTGTTCTCACGCATGCTGCTGTACCTGCGTGGGGCAGGCCTTGTTCCTATCTCCAGTGTGCGCTCATGGAGGCTGTGGCCCAGGTTCACGTTAAGATCTTTTTCCCCACTGCACTCTACTGTCTTTGCAGCTTGGTTTCACTGAGCTGTGCCAGTGGTCTCTTCTGTCTTCGTAGCTGAATTTGTAAACTCTTATAGCCTATAAGATTGAAAATGCTGAACAAACCTGGCAATGAGCCGTGGAGTGTTCAAAAGTGGCCAAGAAAAGGTTGCCGTGAACCCTGACCTGAAGCTGACATCCCCACGCGGGCTATGCTAGCGCAGTTAGCACTGTATAGAAATGGCCCTGGGAGGGTGAGGTCCTCAGTCCTGAGGGTGTTTCCACAGCCACTGGATCCTGGAGCTCTTAAGTGGACTATGAAGGGGTCCACTTTCAGCTCCCTGACTTGGAGTGAAATATAATACGCAGGATAGCTGGGCGCCGGTGGCTCACACCTGTCGTCCTAGCTACTCTGGAGGCTGAGATCTGAGGATCATGGTTCAATGTCAGCCCGGGCAAGAAAGTGCGTGAGACTCTTATCTCCAATAAACCACTAAAAACCAGAAGTGGTGCTATGGCTCATGTGGTAGAGCGTTTGCCTGGAGCTGAAGAGCTGAGGGACAGCACCCAGGCCACAAGTTCAAGCCCCACAAAAAAAAAAAAAGGAGGAAGAGGATGCTGGCAAGAAGGCCTGCGGTGGCAGGGCTGTGGGTGCTCACTATAACTGAGCTCTCTGGACTGGGCTCTGACGGGCCGGAGCCACCTGCTGCTACTCAGCAGCAGAAAGGGCTGTGTGGCATTGCCTTTAATCCATCCCATGGGGCCAGTGTCTCTTACACTGATTTTGATTTCCTCTCCCCTAGCTTAGGCCATATCTGCGTCTGGTGCTTTGCCATCCTAGCAGGGAGTGAGGGCCAGGACTGCAGACGGGATAAGGAGCGACGGTGCCCGTTGGACTCTGACTGCTCTGCTGCAGGGGCGGCAGCCTCAGAGCCAAGCTGCTGTCTCCCACCACCAGGCAGAAGAACAGTTCTGCTCCTTGCCCGCCCAGTTCTTGATTTGCTTACTAAGCCAGCACCTCAGGGGGCAGGGGAAGGGGGAGGCCTATTTCTAAGTCTGTTAGGACTGTCTGTCTGTTCACACAGTAGGGTCATGGATCTTGCTGTGCTGCCCAGGCTGTCTCCAACCTGCTGGGTGCCTCCTGCCTCCTCCTCCTGAGTAGCTGGGACTGCAGGTGTGCATCACCATGCCTAGATCTTCCAGTACATTTTTTTCTTTTTTCACAGTAAGATAGTTTCTCAGTGGTAGCTCAAGGCTGGCCTCAAACTCATTTTCCTCCTGCCTCTGCCTCCCAGCCTTTTTTTTTTTTTAAGTTATAGAAATTGAATTTGGGGCCTTGCACTTGCTAGGCTAGTGCTCTACCCCTTGAGTCACACCCTCAGCCCTTTTTACTTTAGTTACTTTTTGGATAGGTTCTTGGATTTTTGCCCAGACAGGCCTGGACCAAAATCCTCCCAAGTAGTTGGAACCACCACACCCACCCCAGCCCAGCCCTGTAGGGGTTTGATGGATTTCCCTGTGCACTGTTCATCTCCCCAGGCTCCAGAATCCTGCAGACCATGTCCAGATACCATTCTGTCACTCCGCTGTGTGGCCTTTAGATGAAACAGCACAGATGGGAGACCCGGCTCTGCAGGGTAGTAAAGTGCCCAAAAGAGGCAGCTGTAGCCTGGCAGCCATGGCGTGGTCCTCTCCTTCCCTTCCAGACTTTCACATCCTTTGTCTCCATGCCTCAGTATTAGCAGGTTTATAATCTCCAGTGCTGGTTCTGTGTCTATCAAATGTTACCAGTGACTTCATACCCTTGTTTGGTCCTTGGCTTTGATTTCTGTGGGTACACATAGCAGATGCATTAGCCCCTTTCCTGAGAAGGAGCCAGAAGCCCATGTTTCCGGAGCTCAGCCATGGGCCTCCACTCTAGGCCATCCCTGGGACTGAGAGCCTGGTGGAGCTGCCAGGCTTGTGGGAACCCAGGACAGGCAGGGCATGCAGGTGGAGAGCGCCACTCTGAGGTTATATGTCTGGACAGCGATAGCAAAGCCAAAGCACCGCATCCCCAGGCCTATCTAGTGCTGGTCCAGGTGTGTCATTGTACCACTTCTAACCACTGAACTAGCTAGCAGCTGAAGGGCCAGGGATCGCACAGCACTAAGCACATGGAATTTGCTGGAGAGCTCACAGAGGCCATCTGACTGCTGAGTGCTGGTTCCTACCCTGGAGCCCAGGGCTGCCTGGCTCCTTCAAGTTGGTTTGATCTTTCTACAATGACAGGAAAAGCCTCTTTCTGCTCTGAAGTGCGTGCCCCACCCAGGCCTCCCAACCCCAGTTCACACCTTGCAACCCCTTTCTCACTTGAATATGTTGAGACATGTTTTCTTAAGATGTTTCTTGTTCCCTTGCCAAAGTGTCTTCCAGCACTTTCTGATATATCAAGATGGCAGTGTCCCAGGCCTCTGCCTGTCGGCCTGGCTCTGCCTACCTGGCTCCTCCAGCCTGGTCAGGCCATGGTAAAACCGAGCACCCTTGTCCAGGCAGTGAGGGAACCAGCATTAGAGCGAAGGGCTGGGGTCCCTGAGGCCTGGAGAACAGCGTCAGGGATTACCCGCAGAATCCACACTCGGGACCTCTGGAAATTATCTGACTGTTGATCCAGCCATTTATAGACTTCCTTCAGATATTCCTATGAAATAAATGCCTCTGCTTCTAAATATTTTTTGGATTTAAAATGGCATTCCCATCATTTTAGAAGAGGTAGTATTCCAACTAACAACTACTTTTTTTATACTATTTCTGCCTCTTTTGTTGTTTTGGGTCATGGGGCTTAAACTTGGGGCCTAAGCACTGTCCCTGGGCTCTTTTTGCTTAAGGCTAGCACTCTATCACTTGAACCATAGCACCACTTCCGGTTTTCTGGTGGTTTATTGGAGATAAGAGTCTCACAGACTTTCCTGCCCGGGCTGGCTTTTAAACCGTGATCCTCAGATTTCAGCCTCCTGAGTAGCTAAGATTACAGGCTTGAGCTACCAGTGCCTGGATATTTCTGCCTCTTGTTTGCATATTTATCAACCCCTGCTCACCACCTTGCCCTCAGTGGCCATCGCCCCACTCCAGAGCCTTGGGGCACAGCCGGCTCCCTCCTCACAGTTTCTTATTCCACTATTCTCACATAGATTGGATTTTTTGGTTTGTTTTTTGCCAGTTCTGGGTCTTAAACTCAGGGCCTAGGCACTGTCCCTGAGCTTCTTTTGCTCCAGGCTAGTGTTCTGCCACTTGAGCCACAGCGCTATTTCCAGCTTTTTCTGTGTATGTGGTACTGAGGAATTGAACCCAGGGTTTCATGCATACTAGGCAAGCACTCTACCACTGAGCCACCTTCCCAGCCCCTTCTCACATAGATTGTCTACTTGAGTTCTCACTCCACTTCCCTGCCCCTGCTCATGCCAGCTTTGACCTGGGGAGTGCTGATGTCGGGGCCTTCAGAAGGCAAGCTTGGAGAAGAGGAACGACGGGGTGTTGTATGGTTCAAGATCTGGGGTGGAAGGAGAGCTGTGGGAAGCACAGGGCCATGTCATTGCTTTTCCTCCTAGATGGCGCTTGTCAGCAGCCAGTGCCCAGGCAGTCACTGCGTCACGGGCCCCCTTCCCCATCACCTACCTGAGCTTCCCACCCTTCTCAGCTTGGGGTGGGGGTCCTTCAGGAGAAGCGTCTCATTTCACTGAGGGCTGGCTGCAGGCCGGCTTCACAGTGTGGAGGTCTGTTGAGGAGCCTGAAGGGTGTGGTTGGGGCCCTTTTGCCCCCTCAACCAGTTTCAGATTCCCTTGGGTCTTTGGAAGAAAGCCTGGGATTTCTGGATTTTGATTTACTGGACAGACAGGTGCCATGGCTATGGCCCTGGCTTCCTCACACCATCAGGGAGCCATGTCACCACACTCATTATTATTATAAGTGTGGCATCCAGTATGGCTGGTAGGACAGAGGGGAAAGGATTTTCAGGACCTCGGGTGTGGGAGGGAAATTCAGGACTTACTGGCTGCCCTTTCTAGTCCAGCCCCTCTCTCTCTAGGTCTGGCCTCTGTCTCCTTTCCTTAGGAAAACAGTCTGGCTTGGCTTCTGCAGCCAGAACCTTTGCTGTTTGCAGCAATCTCAAACTAGTTGATGGGAAATTTCACTGTCTCATAATAGTTCCGTTTAATCTCTTTCCTCCCTCCTTATGCTTAACATTTCCTTTCAGAACCTGAGCTGGCTGGAAGAGAAAGAGAAGGAAGTTGTCAGTGCCTTGCGCTACTTTAAGACAATTGTGGACAAAATGGCTATTGATAAGAAGGTACTGGAGATGCTTCCAGGGTCCGCCAGCAAGGTGCTGGAGGCCATCTTACCCTTGGTGCAGACCGACCCCCGGATCCAGCACAGGTGAGTTGCCCCGCAGTGCTCAGCGGGGGCAGCAGTGGAAGGAAGGCTGAGGCGCCTGGGTTTGGGCACTAGAAGTACAGGTTTCCAGGAACAGTGGAGGCTATCCTGCTCGCCAGCTCTACCTGGCTGCTTCCCAGCCTTGAGATCACTGCTCCTCCTGAGGCCTTGACTCAGGCTGGTCTCTACCATCCCAGGAGATGAGGCCATGTTGGAGTCTGTGCTCACTTCTTTGTGTGAACTCACAGGCAGCAGTCACATAGATTTTTTTTTTTTTTTTTGTCAGTCGTGGGACTTGAACTCTGGGCCTGAGCGCTGTCCCTGTGCTCTTCAGCTCAAGGCGAGCGCTCTACCACTTGAGCTACAGCGCCACTTCCGGTTTTCTGGTGGTTTATTGGAGATAAGAGTCTCACAGTCTCTCATGCCCGGGCTGGCTTTGAACCGCGATCCTCAGATCTCAGCCTCCTGAGTAACTAGGATTACAGGTGTAAGCCACCAGCGCCCAGCTAGTAGTCACATAGATTTGGAGTTCATTTCTCTCCTGTGCCTTCAGTCCCCTAACATACCTAACCACTGCTTCTTATGGCATCCAGTACTAGCACAAATTCTCACCAGCTTAGGCAATCAGCCAGAAGAGGCAGAGAAGAATCCCGTTAGAGCACGGAGTATGGGAGCACCTGCCTGTGCCAGGCCAGGCTCTCCCAGGCAGTGTGGGAGCTGCAGTCAGACTTTGCCCCAGGAAGCTTTTGTTGACTACTGAGGCTTTGATTGCTAGACTGCATTTTCTCTTAAAGATCAGCGCGAGAACCTTGCCTGGATTCATTGTTAAGTATAAAAGGAAAAGCGGTTTTAAGTGCCATCTCATAGCCTGACAGGAGCTTAGGGTTTGGGTTTGGGGTTTTGTCCGTGGTACCTATTCGGGATCAGTGCATCTTTCTTCAGTTCCTCCATCTGGCTTTGTGTTCACCTAGCCCTGTGAGACTGAGCTCTTACAAGCAGCTTTCAGAACTTGGCAATGAAGTTCACAACTTTCTTCTTCTGAGACATAGAGTAGTAATTGGTGTCTTTGTTTTCAAGAAGCTCTCTGCTGGGGAGACTTTGACCCTGGAGTTTTTATTGACCCCCCCGGAGATTGTGGTCTTTTGGCTAGAAGCTCCCTGGCGCTGTTGGTATGGCTTGGTCTGCTGCTGCCCGCACTGTTGCTGTCTCTAGTTTTATTCCATGCCTGGCTCCTAGGCAGCCTTGGTGCCTGTCTTCTTTAGAGAAAGAGCCTTATGTTGACATTAACCACGATCAAATGTGTGGATGGTGTTGTTATCCCTCTGTTCTCATGAGATGATCCCACTAGGAAAGAGTTCAAATCCAGTTGGAAACTTCTGGCTCACCATCAGGTAACAAGTGCTGACAGTGGTAGAGTGCAAGCTCTGTTGGAATTGAAGCAGAAGGCTAGAGAGTGGTGGTCCCAGCTACCTGGCACAGACATGCTGGAAGCCAATCTATGGGAGAGGCAGGAGCTGGATTTGTTGTCGGGAGGAGAGTCAGAGAAGGAAGGACCTGTGGCCTAGGTCAGTGTATGTCCTGGGGCTGGGGAGCCAGGGAAGCAAAACAGGGCCTTGACCTGCTACCTAAGCACAGAAACCTCTGGGAAAGTGCGTGGAGTTGCTTTCGCTAATCCCAACACAGTGGTTGCCACTAGGGTTTCTTCCTGGAGTGGGGGCTGGAAGCTCTGCCCAAGAGGGTGCAGGCATGTACCTACCTGTTCATGCAGCCACAGAGAAGGGGTAGTTGAAAAAGGTTATTTAGTGCCCTTATCTCCTTCCAGGAAGAGCTAAGGCTAAAGGCAAGTGCCAGGGCATAGCCAGGTGATCTTGGGCTAATCCCACGTAAAGGATTTGCCTTTTGGAATTGTCCCAAAGCTGATGAGTGAAAGAACGTCCTCAGATGTTTCTGTTCTTTCCACTGTCTCTTCCTCCATCAGTGCAGCATGTGAGTGGGAAGGGGCTTTCCTGCCCCTCTGCAGCTGCCTTCTAGCAAGCAGGTCCCTGGCTACCTCGCCTGAGTTCCAAGGACACAGCTAGTCTGTACTGAGTGAGCAGCCAACTTGGGCTGTAGCGGGAATGCAGGTTTCTCCTGTGAGAGCCACTGTCTGTGCATTAACGGCAAATGGCTTTGCTTCATGAAGAATGGGCCAGTGCTGGGTCTTGGTACATGTCCCCAGTGACCTTTGTCCCTCCTAGTCAGCCCCTTGCCACGGGAAGACTGGGCATGAAGGCTCGTGGTGGGAAGGGTGCTGTGGGGAGTGGTTGTTTCAGAGCTCCAAGCAAATAGCAGCCTAGATGCTGGAGAAATGAAGTGTGAAATTACCGCCTGGGTGTGCACCCCCTGCAGGCCAGGATAGAAGGCTTTGGCTGCATTCATGCTGCATATATGCTCCACATGGCTGTGGATCCCCCTTCCGACGGGAAGGCCCAGAGCCCATCCTCCGCACCTGTCTCTCCATGGTCTCCTAGCTGATTCCCCGGCCCTCCCCGTCCTCAGGGACTGGGGGCTTGCTTTCCTTCCTCCAACTCCTCTCACTCTTCCTCTGCTATAATGCATAAGTCTGAAGTGGAAAAAAAACTTTCAAAATTCTTAAAGAAAATTATTTTCAGTATTTGAGATGTAGAACATGTAAACGTTGTGTATTTTGACTACTACTCTACAGAGTACTGAGGGTGCCTTCTTGGCATCATAGTGAGGCTGGAAGTGTACACACACACACACACCCTGTATCACCACCCTCACACATCTCAGGCCATCTGGAAGTGCACACACACACACACACACCACACACACACACACACACACACACATACCCTGTATCACCACCCTCACACATCTCAGGCCATCTGGAAGAGCACACACACACAACACACACACACACACACACACACACACACACCCTGTATCACCACCCTCACACATCTCAGGCCATCCCGGGCCACCTCAAATCTGACTCATTATTCTTGAAAGTCTTTCCTGCTGTGGCCCTCAGGCTGCTCAGCCATCATTACAGGGCTGAGGACTGCAAGCTCAGTGTGGGGAGGCGTCTCTGACAAAGTGCCATCTCTTCTGAGCTCATGGCTGCTCCATTCCGGGGTCCCACTCACTAAAACCTCACAAACCTATTGGCTCCTGTGATCTGTCCACAATAACTTTCAATCTCATTTAAAACAAGAAGCACGCAGCTCTGGCTCAGACCAGTGGCTGGCAGCTTGAAGGAGGGAAGACTGAGTGCTTTGTAGGCAATCTTTATAGATTCTTACATGCAGGGGTGTGAAGCCAGAAGAAACTACTGTAATGGGATTTTTATGTTATATATGGGAAATGAATTTTTTTTTAACCAGTTGTAGGGTTTGAACTCAGGGGCTGGGCTCTGTCCCTGAGCTCTTTTGCTAAAGGCTAGCACTCTACCACTTTGAGCCACAGTGCCACTTCCGATTTTTGAGTAGTTAATTGGAGATGAGAGTCTCACAGGGACCTTTCTGCCCAGGCTGGCTTTGAGCTGTGATCCTCAGATCTCAGCCTCCTCAGTAGCTAGGATTACAGGCGTGAGCCATCAGCACCCAGGTTAGAATATAAAGTTCCACAAAATCTTTGCTGGAGGTCAAAAGGCCAGGAGAGATTAGCTGAGTGTGGTGGTGCTCGTTGTAATCCCAGCACTCTCTCAAGAAAGAGAGAGACATGGATTTTTACCAAATGAAGAGAGAAAGAGGGACACTGTAGCCACTGACAGACTGGTCCTTTGCTACGTAGGTAGGTTTCTGAAGTGACTGTCCTGCTTTCGATTTGTTTGTAACATGTCTTTACAAACCCTTCTTTTCATTCTAGCTCAGCCCTCTCCTCCTGCTATAGCCGGGTGTACCAAAGTCTTGCCAACCTCATCCGTTGGTCTGACCAGGTGATGCTTGAAGGGGTGAACTCAGAGGATAAGGAGACAGTGACAACGGTGAAGGGCGTCATCAAGGCCGTGCTGGACGGAGTGAAGGTACTGCGTGGGCTCCAGACCACCAATCACTCATAAACCTACCACATCAGAATGATCGTCTTCTGGTAGCCAAAGTGCGGACCTGCCTAGCCCAGGACTCCTCCATCCACAAATCCCTCCATCACCACTGGGGCTGAGCACACTTACAGCTAGACAAAGACACAGTGGAGGCGGGTTTTGTGTTGGCATTCAGCAGAACTAGTATATCACTGCTGCCTTTTCATGTTGCAGACATGTTGAGAGTCTCCATAGCAAAGCATGATTGAGATGACCTAGGAATGAAAGCATCTATGGGCTTGATTTCCCTCATGCTGTCTGGGTATTTGCTATCCAGGGAAGTCAGAAATGGCCTGCGAGGAAATTAGTAATCATAGTTGAGGTAGAAGCAAAGGCCTTAGTGGAGCTGGGCCTGGGGGACAAGCCCTAATGAGAAAATGAGCCCCAGTGTTTGAGGAGCAAGACAGGTAGAGCAGGGACAGAGTGAGGGTCAGTCAGGGCTGGGCATGGTGGGCAGGGAGGACAGGGAACCTGCTTTAGGTGGGGCTGTGCCATGCAATGGAAAGAGTGACCACTACTACTTGCTGTCTGTGGACTGGAGCCATTTGCTTAGCTTCTCTTTAGTTAATAATCCATAAAGAGTTAGCCTGGGCTGGGAATGTGGCTTAGTGGTAGAATGCTTGCCTAGCATGCATGAAGCCCTGGGTTCAATTCCTCAGTACCACATACACAAAGGCAGAGGTGGCGCTGTGGTTCAAGTGGTAAAGTGCTAGCCTTGAGCTGAAGAGCTGAGAGACCATTCCCAGGCCCTGAGTTCAAGCCCCAGGACTGGCCAAAAAAAGTTAGCCTAACAGTACTGTACATTGCAGGGCTACTGGAAGGATTAAATTAGTTAATATATGCACTGCTTTTAGAACAATGCCAGATACATACTGAGCACTCAGGCATTACTAGCTACTAAGTATACAGTGCTCAGCGCTTGCCTTGAAATGTGGCTGGGCCCTCTTCCTTTCTAGATTCTTCCAAACAAAATTATAGCTAAGACCTCTGCACTGAGGCACAAAAGGTTCCTTCCCAACTCACCAGACTCCAGATTCCTGGAAACCGCCCCCTTGCGAGCCACTCCCCAGAGCTCTGGGGAGCAGGACTAGGACCCCAAAGGCTTAAACCACAGAGAGAAGGCTATGGAGCATTGCTTACATGACATGTCTCTCCCAGATGGACTCTTAGCTAAAGTCCCCGCAGCTCCCCATCTCCAGTACCCTTTAGACCAAGGTCGTATGGTCTCTTCACCCCAGAGAGTGGTCAAGTTCTGTTGTCGGCTTTTGGCAGAGAGACTGAAAGGCATAACCAGGACTGCTGTGCTGAGTCCAGGCTATCGCATCATGCTGTGGCATCCCCCACGGTCGCTCATGTCCGCGTGGTCTGTGTGCTGCAGCGTCACGCAAGTCCAGCCAGCTGGCCCTGCTGTTCATGACTGCTTCTAGAAATGCTATTGTTGGAAATGATTTTTCAGGTGACATTGTTGTGTTTCCTCCCACCAAATCCATTCTGATGAGGTGTTCAGAACAAGTTAGAACAACTAGAGCGGAAGAAAGCGAGTTTCCACACAGCCTTGTGGCACAGCCAAGTGGAATGTCTCTGTGAAATCATTAAAGCACCATTGTATCGGTGCAAGGCCTGTCGGAGAGAAAAATTTACAATTTTTTCAGTGATCAGAGAACACAGAAAAAGAGACAGAGTATCTATGGAGTTTGAAATTGTCAGCGTCTAAGAAAACAATTTTTCCCCAAGTATCTTACAAATATTTTAGCCAGGACAAAGATACTGTAGGTCAGAGGCTCTAAAAATTGAGTTTTGTCTCATTTATTTAAGAAACACTTAACAAGAACCTTCTGTGTGCCCCGGTCATGGCCCTGGCCTGAGGGAGTTCACAGCTAACTGCAGGGGAGGAAGGACCATAAACAAAAGTTCACAATTGTGTAAGACGATGCCACAGGGAGAGAGAGTGGAGAGCGCGCAGGCGCTCCAGGCTCCAGCGGAGGCACACAGCCTGCTGCTTGCAGGGTGGTCGGCCTCCTTCCTGAGACGCAGGCCAGGGCCTGCAGGGCGGCAGGCATGGACCTGTGCTGCTGGAGCCTGGAAGGCTGTGAAGAGTGTCCGTGTTGGCATTGTTATTTATGTCTGTGCTAGTGACAGCGAGCACTCACCGGCTGCCCGACCCTGTGCGCTCGTTACTCACTCACCCTCACCCTCGCTAAGGCTCCTCCGCTCACACCTCCTGCTCTCCCAGCCAGGCCCCACTCCCTAAAAGCCTGTGTCCTGGGGTGTGAGCTGTAGGGCTGGGCGGGGTACCACTGATGTGGTCACCCCACTTGGAGGAGGAATGCTGGCACGTTCCTCAGTTCTGACTCACCATCTTTCAAGTGGCTACTTCAGTTGAACGGAATTTTTTTTTGAGGGGGGGAGGGAACTTTACAAAAATGTTTTAAAAGCAGCTTACTTTGTTTTTGTTCCTGAATGAGTAATAGCATTTGTCAGTTAAACCCTCGCATAAATACCGCTTGCTAGCTATGTGGCCTTGGACCAGCTATTTCTCTAGGGTTCCTATAGTTCCTTAAATACTTGCCCTGAAGGTGTGAAGACAGGCTAGGCTGATGGACACCCAGCGAGTGCTGGGCGCCGTGGAACGCCTGCTCCCCTGCCAGTCCTGGTCGGCAACTGTGGCTCCATTCCAGGTGAGCTTAGAAATGTGAGCCCTTCCAGCCTTCCCACTTCAGCATTGCTGTCCTCTGACCTCAGGCAGGCTGCTCTCCACCCCGCCTTGCACTCAGCTTGGCCTGGCCTAGGCCTTCAAGAAAGAATGAGGGTTGGGGGGAGGGAGAGAGGAAGACAGAAGGAAGCAGGAGAAAGAAAGAGGGAGAAAGAGGGAAGGGAGGCAGGGAGGAAGGGCTTTCTTACACTGTAAGGAATGTTTTCTGACCATCTGTTAGGATTAAGTCTGAAATGAAAATTGTAAATGCAAAATGAAAGTAGTAGTGGCTCTGTGAGTGTGTGTGTATGTGTGTGTGAATGAGTGTGTGCATGTGTGGACACACACATGCTGTACATGTGTTAATTCCAGGGCTTGAACTTAGGGCCTTACATTCTCTCAGCTTTTCTTATCTTTTTCACTATTTACAACTGGTGCTCAACCACTTGAGTCCTACCTCCTGGCTGGGTTTTATAGGTTAATTAGAGATGGGTTCTCTCAGACTTTTTGACCTGGACTGGCTTTGAACTGTGGGAAGCTCAGATCTCAACTTCCTGAGTAGCTGGGATTGCAGACATGAGTCACTAGCTCCCAGCTAGCAGTGGCTTTTCAAAAAACAAAATTTCTTATTCCCTTGTGTAAAGTCTAGAGGTAGTCTCAAAGGCCAGTAAGGCCGGGTGCCGGTGGCTCATGCCTGTAATCCTAGCTACTCAGGAGGCTGAGATCTGAGGATCACAGTTCAAAGCCAGCCAGGGCAGGAAAGTCTGTGAGACTCTTATCTCCAATAAACCACTAGAAAACCGGAAGTGACACTGTGGCTCAAGTGGTAGAGTACTTGCCTTGAGCTGAAGAACACAGGGACAGCGCCCAAGCCCTACGACCAACAACAACAACGAAAAAAAAGGCCAATAAGCTGTTTTCAAAAGATGTCTGGAAGAAGTGGCGCTGTAGCTCAAGTGGTAGAGCGCTGGCCTTGAGCTGAAGAGCTGAGGGACAGTGCCCAGGCCCAGAGTTCAAGCCCCACGCCGACCAAAAAAAAACAAAAAACAAAAAATAAAAAATTTGGGGCTGGGAAGGTGGCTCAGTGGTAGAGCGCTTGCCTTGCATGCCTGAGGCCCTGGGTTCGATTCCTCAGCACCACATAAGCAAAAA